CCGCGGGCCTCACCCTCCCACTCTGCCCCCGGAGGCCCTGTGGCCGCAGCCTGAGTTGCGCCCGGCCACGGCCCAGGCCGCGCCCTGCCTGTGCAGGCAGTGGGCACCCGCCACCTCTGGCGTCCCGGGAACAGGACAGGAGCTTCCAGAGAGCAGTGGGGCCAGCGCCGGCCTCTGCAGCTCTGGACGGTCGAGGACACTGAAGGAGGTGGCCGCGCTGCTGTAGACGCCACGGCCGGCCGCGGAGACCCTGTGCTCGGGCCGCGGAGACTCCCTGTGCTCGGGCCGCGGAGACCCTGTGCTCGGGCCGCGGAGACCCTGTGCTCGGGCCGCGGAGACCCTGTGCTCGGGCCGCGGAGACTCCCTGTGCTCGGGCCGCGGAGACCCTGCCCATGGACTGCAGAGGCCCTGCACTCGGGCACACAGAGGGGATGAGAACTACCCTGAAGGCCGAGGAGGAGGCAGCCCGGGCCGCACACGAAACCAGCAGAAACGGGCAGCGCAATCCGAGGGCTGGGGAGAGGTCGAGCCGGCAGCCTCCACCGAGGCGGGGCCCCCCGCCCCGCGCACCAAGGGCTGCGGGAGGCCGAGGCCTGGATGATGGTGGCCGGGCTCCAGCCGCAGCGCAGTGGCTCTGGCCCTCCAGGCCCGGCGGCCAGCATGACCGGTGGCCCTGGTCCGGCGTCTGCTGCTGTGGAGACCGCGGTGCTGAGCTGTGCCAGGGTGGATGGCGCCCGGCAGAGCAGCTCGGTGACCCTGGCCCGCGCGGGGTACCCTGGGCGGCCCAGGAACCTGCAGGGCTGCGTCCTGCGCCCCGCAGAATAGGCTGCAGGGAAGGGAGCGGTGCGGGGCGATGGTGATAACGGTGAGGATGAGGCCTAGGATGGCGACGTGAGGAGGCTGCAGTAATGGTGACGATGAGGATGGCGAGGTGGTGGTGATGACGCCGGGCTGGCGGGCGCCTTGCGGCCCGGGGACAGGATGACAGGCCTGTCCTGGAGCTGGGCTGTTTCCCAGGGGTGTCGGGGACTCGTCACACGCCTGCTTTCTGCCACAGGCACTTTGACGGTGACAGACGCCTCCAAGTCACCTTTGCCTTGAACCGGTCAGCCCAGACCCTGGGCGGAGCCTCCTGCCCCTGCGTTGATGGGGGGAGAGGAGGAAGGGGGAGGAGAGGAGAGGAGGAAGGGGTGCTCTGCGCTTGCTGGCTCTGCTGCAGAGCTGAGGAACGGGGCTGGGCAGGTAGGACTTGGCCACGTCCAGTGGCCGGGAGGGTCCCCACCAGGCCTGGGCGCTGCGTGGACCCATGCCACCAGTCACCGTGTCCACCCATCTGTCTGAGGCCGTAGCCTCTGTCCACATCTGCGCCTTGTCCACGGTCTGCACGTGCAGGTCTCTGACAAAGGGACCGGGCAGAGGTCACGCGTGGCCTTACCAGACCCAGGTCCTCTCCTGAGGATGGTGGCAGCCGGGCCGGAGCTCTGTGCCTTCCCAGGGCTGCCCACCCGTGCGGCGGCCCCGCGGCAGTCCTGCGGCTCGGCTCGGGGTGGCACCAGCCCGCTCCGTGCGCGGGACTGGCCCGGTCCGGCTCGAGGTGATTAATCTGGTTAAAACTAGGCCTGGGGAGTTCGGGGGAGCGCTTGGCCTGCACTTTCCACCTTCACCCACTGTAACAGATCCCGACCTAACCCGCGTCGTCTTCGCGGGAGTGGGGACAGGCCGCTGTCCAGCAGAGCCGCGCGCCCGGATCCAGGCTGTGGGAGTGAGCATCCGGACCTTGCTGCCGACGTCCGTTTCATGCCCGGCCCCAGGCCGCACAGCCGGGAGGGGGCGCGGGGGGGGGGGAGAGGAGCAGTGGTGGGGCTGGAACTCAGGGCCTCAAACTTAATTTTTTCCACATTTTTAAGCACCACAGTTTCCCCCTAAAACTAATAAACGTGACTAAGCCAGCAAATGAGAAGACGTACCCGTGATCTACTTAAACTTACTTTTTATTATCATTTTTCCAGTTACCCAGCATGCCACAATCTGATTGCCGACCTGGATGAAACAGTGAAATAAATGATTTACAGAGAGATATTTACATTCATCCGATTGGTACTTCACACACTCCACCGCGCTGCGGCCATGGCAGGCTGACACCGGACTGCAGCGCGGCCTCCCCATGCCCCGGCTCCCCGGACTGTGGGTCAGCCCGACCTGGAGTCCCAGCCGGGGAGAAGAGCTCGCGGGGGCCTCGCAAATGGCTCGCGTGACCGTTCTTAAGCCCGCTTCTGTACGCTAAGTTACACGCAGGAATCTGATTAAATGATCTTTGTTAAAGCCTTGAATTGTAACGTTTCCTTTTTACCTTGTAGTAGTGAACAGAACACCAAAAAGGCACATGTTTCAACCAGGTGTGTCAAGGACCAAACTTTTCCTCCTGCCATTGGGTTTCCATTCCTGCTGGGTTACCTGCCGTGACACACGTCCAGCAGCCACCCGCGCCCAGGGCGCGCTCGGGGCGCGCTCGGGGCGCTCGCGGCGCAGGCGCTCTAACTTCCACTCTGTGAACAGATTAAAGAAAAAAAGCATCTTTGGCTCACTAGTGTCAGATTTTTTCCAGTAGCAAGGATTTGAGATGAGCCTAAAAATGTACACAGTGAAGTTAGAAAACTCAGCCTCCCAAATGTCCTCACGGAGACGAGCATGTTTAGTCTATGCGGTCGGCGCTGGGGGCAGCGCACGCCCGGCCCCTCTCCAACCGGCCGGCGCGGCCCTCCGCGGCCCGCACCCCGGGCAGAGGCCCGGCCGGACGCCAGGGCCGTCACAGCGGTTTCCGTGATCCTCCCCTCTGGCTTAGTACACCTCGGATAAAGTACAGTGTTGTGAAGATAGCACCTTTGAAGGATGATGGAGGTCATTTACGCCAGCTCCGGGGAGCGGCTGAGGACGGCCCAGCGGATGTCCCCACGCGGTGTGTGGCCGGCGCAGGCGCGCCTAGCCCGGCCCCTGGACGCCGAGTCCGCATCCCCGTCGGGAACGCTGCGGGGCCGCAGGTGTGCGGGCCGGAAGACCGTGAAGATGAGCGGCCCGGGCCCGCCCCCGGGGTCTGAGGCCCCGCACGACCCCATCACGCACAGCTCAGCGCCTCTGGCGCTCAGGAGACGCCCGGAGTTCCGGGGCGGCGGGGCCGACGCCCCACCCAGCAACCACCACAGGAGGCGCAGGTTGACATAGTGCTTTATTCACGCTGCGGAACGAAGGGCATAGAGTGCACCCCACGTCCGTGTGCAGAGACGAAGGAAGGGTGTCGTGTACAAACAGTGCGTGTCGCTCGCGCACGCCCCCGGGTCCCAGGCCCCAGGAGAGGCCGGCGGAGTGGGGGTGTCTCGGGGTCGCCCCAGCCGGAGGCTCCACCGCGTGGACCTCGCGCGAGAGGCGCCCGGCTGGGGAGGCGGCTCCACGGGGCCCTTGGTAAAATAAATACATTTCATGCTCGCCCGCGGACGGTGCGGTGCGGTGCGGTGCGGTGCGGTGCGCGGCGGCGGGAGCGGGGTCGGCTCCGCGGCCCCAAGGCAGGGGGCTGGGCCTGTGGGACGCGGCGGGCGAGGCCTGGAAGCAACACTGGGCCGCGGGGAGTGTGGGTGAGGCGGCAGGGGCGGCCCGCCTCCCGCCTTCCGGGAGGGCTCGGCTCGGCCCCCACACCCGGGCCTGCCCGCCTCCGAGGCCGCACGCGGAGAGCTGGCCGGGCCTGGTGACACCCAGAGCCGGGGCCCTGCGGCCTTGGGACCGCCCTTGGCCAGGGTCCGGGAAGGGAACCAGCAGGAAGCCGCGTGCCCGCGTCCGCGTCCGCCGGCGGTGGAAGGAGGGAGATGACTAAGGGCCGAGGCCCCGGCGCGTAAGGCCCGGACCCGCGGCCGCGGCCGCCACCGCCAGCAGTGGTCCTGGCGCCTCCCACCGCGCCGCGGCCCGCGGCTGCCACCCTCCGACTCCGGTCCCGCTTTGGAAAGGGTCGGCTCCTAGCACCGAAGGGCGTGAGGTGGGGACCGCCTCGCCCGTCCCGCGTCCCAGAAGTGCCACGGGCGCCGCGCTGCCTCCCTCCCGCTTTCGGCCTCCTCCGCTCGGCCGGGCTCTGCGCGGGCGCACTAACATAAATACTACCGGAGGACGGCGCGCAGCGGCTCGGTGAGGGCAGGGTCGGCGCCGTCCACCTTCCGAGGCCACGTCTGCGGCACGAGGCGGAGGCGGAGGC